TGTAAGGTCCAAATCAATTATAATACTCGTATGAAATACGTCAGCCGTTCTTGTTGTATTTTAAGCCACCATCAAACATGGGTGTATACTTTCTTTTGCTTAATTTAGTTGTTACATGTACGTGTAATTGATTTCTTAAGAGTTTTACTTTTAATTTAAATCAAAATGTCATTCGAGAGAAATAACACTTAATGTCACTGCTACTTTCTGTCAACCCCAGGGGGGCACGGGTGGCCCAGTCGTCTAAGGCGCCGCGAATCGTTGTGCAGAGTTGCGTCCCTTGGGCACGACAGAAACCTATGATTTTGGGTTCGAATCGCGGTTCGCCCCGATTGTTTCTAGGTTTGTCAGCACCATACCCGTGCTCGTGGGTTTCACCGAAGTGGTAACGTCTGAGAACTGCATCACTTAGGGCTTTCCTCACACATTAAGCTGACATGCCGCGACATAACTGGAATACTGTCAAAAGCGGCGTTAAACCCAACTCACTCACTCACACTGTCAACCCCAGAGTTCCTTTTGTCTTCTTAGTCGGAACGTAAAGAACAGCGAAAAAAAAAACATCATTAATAAATATTTGTCTTTTCGTGGCGTGGCCTGTAAATGCTGATTTATTCACTCGTGGCTGTGTCCAAAGTGATACTATCAACGTTGTAAGGACACTCGGTGAGATAAACATGTTGTTGACGGGACACATACACTCTATTTATATACTTCCACGTACGTATCTCACCCCACATAATGAGAGAGACGATACGGGTGGACCAGGGGAGCAAAGTGATTTAGGGGTGGGGGTAGCCTAGTGGTTAAAGCGTTTGGTGGTTACGCTGAAAGACCTGGGTTCTATTCTCCGCATGATGCATGGGTACAGTGCGCTAGTATCATTTACCTGACGTGATTTCGCTTGAATGTTACTGAAGCGGCGTAAAACCCACCCACTCACTCACTCACTCACTCACTCACTCACTCACTCACTCACTCACACTCACTCTCACTCACTCACTCACTCACTCACTCACTCACTCACTCACCCCGTACTGTTCACCTGGAAAAGTGAAAAGCTCTTCAGATGCATGGAGATAGGTGAAGTGACTCGTTGTCTCAACTAACAAACAAAACAATACAACAAAACGTTTTGTAAAAAATCGGAGAGAAGATATTCATGACCTGAATTTATCCAGAATTGCAGAAGACAAAGAGCCCTCCCGAGATCTGGTGTTAGTCGTGAATACAAACAGCCATTAAGTAGAGGAAGTTATTACTTGTCTAGATTAGTATACACTTCTGCTAAAGAAAAATGATTTCGGATTCACTCATACAAATGACGCATGTGGCGTATTGGTCTCGAGGAACACTTTCACTTCCCGGCACGCGTTGCGTGAAATGTATATCATTCCGCGGCTTGGTGGTAATATATGAACGGTTTTAAACACCTTGAAACCTTTTTGCGAGTTGTCATGTGTGTTGATTCCAATTGAAGTGGTAAACTTGTTCCGTTTGTAACACTTGTAAGTTAGAAACAGGATGACTGTGATTCAATCCTCACGGCGGACAGTTAATCCATGTTGACGTTATTTTTAAATGTCTCGTGAATAATAATAATGATGATAATAATAATATTAATAATAATAAAAATAATAATAATGATAATACATGCCACTGTTATACAAACAGAAAAATAATGAAGAGCGATACTAATATTTTTTGGAAGAAACATTTTTTTTCCAGAAAAAGTACAACTTTATGGCTCACAACGTCTGGTTTATTACATTAGCGACGTTTCAATGTTGTTTCTTACACCGTTATCAAGCTGGAGAGACGGTGTACGAATCTTCATCGACACGAGGGCGGTCGGGTAGCCTAGTGGTTAAAGCGTTTGCTCGTCACGCCGAAGACCCGGGTTCGATTCCCGACATGGGTACAATGTGGGAAGCCCATTTCTGGTGTCCCCCGCCGTGATATTGTTGTAATATTGCTAAAAGCGGCGTAAAACCATATTCAGTCAGTCACTCACTCACCGAAACGTCGCTGCATTAAAGTTGCATCTTTTCTTATTTACTCACAAAGTTCTAGAATGTGAGTTTTGTCATTGTTCGTGATGTAATGTTTATTCGTTTATTTGTTGTTTAACGGCGCACTCAGCAATATTCCAGCTATATGGTGGCTAAAAATGAAACAAACAAAAAATGATTATTCGATGATGACGTATTTCATACGGGTATCATAGTTGTGATTTTGGACCTTAAGTTCGAACTGTTTCGGCAACTATTTTAACCAAGTAATGTTTTGATAACGTTTGTAATGTTTGGTCAGATAAATTTTCAAACGTCTACTTTCTTTTGCCATTGTTTATATACACAAATATAATTCGTGAAATTGACATAGTGTCAAGCATGGGAGACATTAATACTATGCTTGACGAAACGAAATCTACATCATTGTCAATTTCATATCACGCACGAACGACACGTGTTTTGTGCGTGCACGTATGCCGCGCGATCACGTGACAATCGGTTAATGGTAAACAACTCATAAACCTACATAAACAATCAACCATCTCCATCCATGACTAATGGCTTAAGATAATGGCATGTTTCTTAAGAACAAGCATGTTTCTATCTCACCCTACGATCTGGGTGAACGAGTTTTCCACGTATAGAAGTTTCATGTCGTTAATGGTCGCGTTGGGCCAGGGGTCGTGATGTACCGTGCTGTGTGTCTGTTGTTTCATGTCGATTTTAGTCATTCTATCAGGGGTCGATCTTGAGGTGAATCGTGTTTTGTTTGTTGCCTAAAGACAAAACTTTTCTCGAACCGTCCGCTTTACTTTTATTTATTACAAATATACATCATGGCGTGACTAAAATAATTTTGAAAGTGGTGTTCAACAAATCACTATCTGAAATTCCGTTTGTCCGTCCTTAGTTCTAAGGACATCTTCAGTGTGCGACCTATAATTTGAAAACTACATCATAGATTCATTTCAAACTTGGGGAAAACTTCCAATACCAGAGGTGCAGCGCGAAGTTTGATTTCAATATATGGATTTTCGGGGAAAAATACAGCTATTTAACAAATCACTCTCTAACATTTTTACGGGGTTTTGTAAATAAGTGAATTTTACGCGACTGTCAGCAATATTTCAGCCATTTTCTACAATATCTTAAGAATGTTATTAGCCTTTACTAACCAGAAAGAATCCTTGAGATGAGAACAGTGAAGTACCACTGAAGACAGCCATGGAAGCACCTGTTCTGTGGAACACTATTCAGATCAGTAGCTACCCGTAGGGAAATCAAAGGAGAGTTAACAACTCCTCATTTTCCAGAGACATTCACATTTTAACTATCTTTCTTATTCCCATGACACAACATATATATGTTACAGCGCCACAGAGCATCAGTGGTTTGGAATTAGGCGCCATACAAATGCATCATCATCATCATCATCGTCGTCTTCATTAGTATTATTATTGTTGTTGTGGTCGTTGATCACACGGTGCCTCTGCCAGGGCAGCGGAAGGTCGGTAGTTAAAGATAGCTATTGAATGATGGACACCTATTTAACCAGGAATCGAGATAATAGTATAATACCCACCTGTGAACTGAACACTAAGAACCGTGCTGGTATTCATCCTGAACCAAAAGACGTTAAAAAGATGGTACTTCTTGTTACCCTGTCTGATGCTACGCATTAAGGCATAAACAAGGACTGGTCGGCTCAGAGTCAGTTCTATGTGTCTGGTGGGGTATCAAGGTGATATAGTTTCTCACTGGGCTAGCAATATAAAACCGGCATTAGCCCGGACGAGTACAAGCAGCCACAAGTGAAATAAAAGACCATGTGAATAATTATATAATAGAATAATATGACTATCATAAAAGAGCACATCATAATAAGCAGCGGTCTGACCCTCGTTGTGTAGAACCGTACCACGAAGTCTTAGCCTAGCTTTATAACATGGCAGCCACGTGTGTTTGGCATATTTGAGGAAACTCTCTCTCTCGCTCTCTCTCTCTCTCTCTCATATGTCCTAAATAGATCTCCTTGGAACAGTAACCATAAAATGCACATGTTCTTGTAATGTCGTTCAGATTGATTAAGATCTTCTTCATCGCTTTCCATTAATAATGAAATTACCGTCGGTGATGCAATGGCAAGCTTGAAGCTAATATCATTCTCTTCCTTGTTTAATCGAGGAGTATCCTTTGGAGTTTATTCACGAAAATGTAATTGTGTAGTTAAACGTAAGAAATCCTGTTTGCTGTAATCGAATTTTTCAACATTTAACGTTATAGACAAATCAGCCTTCTTCGAAAATTTCTTTTACTATCTGATCAAGCAATCGGACCAGTTTAGATGTATGTAAACAAAAGACAACCTGCAAGAATAATTGTATTTTCTTGATAACATTAATCAATTAAGGGGGTTATTTCACCATGTAATTCCAATGTTGCTTCTTCCATTATTCAATGGAGTTCTGCACCTAAAAACACCCAGTGATCACAGATACAGATGTACAATATCTGGCAGATGTTAAATATGACGTCCTAATTTTATAAAAACTATAAGAAACTCAATAGCATGTTCACTTTCAATTTACATGTATTGGTGTCAAAAATCGTGCATCCTATTTGGACATGTTTCGTTCAACACCGTAGAAATTTGAGCGTTTTCAGTCTGAAGCAAAACCTCCCAAATTTGGCTTTGGCATTTCTAGATTTCTTCAGTTTGAAAATGAACGGATTCTCTGGGCTCCTTTCGATTATTTATCAAAAGACAATTAAAACAAAATATATCTTGAAATATTTTCATTGATGTAAGTCAAGGCGTTCGTGTGCGCATGTTTTTCTGATATTTTGGTGTCTATGGTTCATCGAACTATAGATTTTTTTGTACATTCATTCTTGCTTTATGTACGCGTATTGACACATTATATAACACATCAGACTCCCATTAAACCATGATGTCTGTATTCGATATTCTCATCAATTTTCCAGACAGTATCTTCCGGTCCCGGCCAGTTCCCCATTTCCCAAGATTCCTCATCACAAATGTCAACGTCACAACCCTGATTTTGAATCGATACCAGCGCCATGCAGCGGCAAAACCGCACCTGTAACAAAAAATACAGGTGATATTAACAGGTGAGTTGTCTAAGCGTAGTAACGAAAATGTAAATGGTGATGTAAATTGTTGACACTCTGGTTAACACGCAAATGATGTCGTAATTGAGTTGTAAATTGCTGTCATCGCGAGCGTCGTCACGTCAGTTACGTGTAGTTACCCGGTGAAATGGACAAGGCGGTTTGATTGATACCTGATATTGATTGCTGCGGCTATATACGGGCGTAGTAAAGGAAGTAGGCTGACCACAAGAGATACGGCCCACACCAGCAGGACATTCGGACAGATCAATACATATGTTGTAAATAATAATATGAGTTCGTTATTGACAATAAAAACAGCGATGTATATTACATGGAAGTCTCAAGTATGAAATCGACACCTGTTTGACTAATATTGTGTGTAACTGGTTGTCACATGTTAAGCTACATGGCTTGCATTTAACACCTCCATAGAATTATTAAGTTGTTTTGTTTTATTTTTAATCTGGTGTATATATGTATCTAAACTAAAAATATTGCGTTCAGGTTATTCAACAGGTTAGTTTATTATGGTTTTTTTGCGAACAAATGAACACGGCAGAACTATAGGGCAATGTGTCATAGGTTCACGATAGCTTAACTTGACAGTCAGAACATGAGGGTCGTGAAACCGGTCAACAGTGCAGCCCTGGGGTGATCATAATAGACACATCATGCGATAAAATTAACACCTCTCATCAAATGTCAATTACCAGGCTACCAAGTTGAAATCAACAAACGGCGTCAGAAATGTTTTGGAAGAGATTACAATCGATGTAGTTTAATATTTATTTAAGATAAACAGCATAACGTCCTATGTCGGTCACCGAGTAAGATTCCCTGGGAGAGTACAGTCGTGAAACTCCGTATATAAATGTTTATTTCAGATCCACTGAAATTAACCAGCGAAATGGTCATCTGTCTCTAGAGACGCCTATCTCCATGATCGCATATGTCTGACCCGCCAAATAAGGGATGTGTCAGTTTCGTCTTGAATATATTCATCCTAGTGGACCCATGGGGTGGAAATGCCGTGAAATCCATCAGCACATACACAGTTCTGGAAAGTATGTAGCCCGCTGTAAGCACCTACAGCCATTTATCATTGGGAATATCAACACCATAGAAACACACTTTTGCATGAAGGGCTAGACAGTGGATAAGGAAGGGATTTCTTACTGCAACTCAGCTAAACGAATCTTTAATGTTGCCGCCACAGGATATAAGTACATTGCTAGGAATGTAGCGATTCATTGAAAATCGATGAATCGCGATACTTTGTGATTATCGTATAATTTCTTAATGTGACGTATTTTCCATTGGACCAGAAATCGGTCACATGAACGCGAAACTGAAGTTCAAAAGCGTATGAACCGCACATTTTGGCAAGACTGTATTCTTGAAATGACGTGACCACTGACGAACCGCTTCCACATTCTTGGGCAAACCCTGTGAATTCCTTAGCACTAATAAATACAGAAGCGTTGTTTCTGATCATTTAGACCCACAAATACCCGCATTAGCATACCCTCAATGTGAAACGTAAGAGAGTGTGACTGCATGACCGTGTACACGTACCCTCGCTACGACTCATCCCAGTGAACGACACGAAGAAATGCACATCCAAACTATCGACTCGATCCTTGCCTAGACTGACAGTGACACTCTACAGCAATCTATGACTTTACCTCAGAATCTGTTTGACGCGCCTTTATAATCACCTTTCAATGATTTGCCAATTGGTCAATGATGACTTACATTAGCAATCGTCACATGTGACAGGTTCATTAACAACTTCGGAAATCTCTCCCGTCGCGATTATCGTCTCGGCCATTTTGACGTCCTGCACTCGATGTAAATGTATTACGACGCGCCGTAACATTGACTGACACTTAAGTGGTTATAACCGACCGCCGTTCATACAATTTGACCCTCGCTCTGTGAAGGTTCATACTTTAGATGTACTGACACAACTGAATGTCATTTCTTAATTCAAATTCATACATGTAGAAGTGATAGGGAATGTTTTATGGTGTGAAAATGAATGGTAAAATCCTGTCAGTTTTTGTACATTATTGATACATTTGCCTCGAGTTTATTAAATATGTTTAACTGGGTCTCTAACTAGCCTGGATAAGAGCTCCTTCCGATAACAAGTTTCCGTGAAGCGTATCAAGAGAGTTTCATTTAGATAAGTACAGAATCTCTACTGGTTTTCCGATAGCGAACTGTTGTTCCTTGAAACAATGACGTCAAACGTTTGTACTGCTGACGCTATGTCGATAAGACATTTTGGAAACAACTTACGTTTTCGTGTCAAGGGTTAAAAACATTTAAAACTTAATGAGATAATGTTTTAGTTGAAAGCTTATAACTATTGTCTTCTGAAAACTCCACCCATTGTAATTCCTAGGTAAAGTAAGCCCCCCCCCCCCCCCCCCCCCCCCCCCCCCCCCCCCCCCACACACACACACACACACAATCCTTATTGTATTCGTCTCTGAAATGAAAATATTTGACCAAAACGGTTGTTATATTATCTTAATAAGATGTACTAAAGAGAAACTGCAGTAATCGAGAGTTGTCGACTTTTACAGACTTGCATGGGCGGTAGTGGATATGTTTTGTTTCAGGGTCTGTATGACATGTGTGTCAATGTGCCTCTGTATGATCTGGCTGAATGTGGGTCAATGTGCATCAACTGGGCAGGTCGTTGCTCATGCTGTCAGTCAGTTGCCTGGTCAAATCTCGATTGTAACAGGCCTCTGTGAAATAGCTTGTACATGTCTTGATGCGGCATATAATACATTCACTCTTTATTCTGTACAAACAATAATTTACAATATGTTTTTTCTTTTCAGTTTTTTTCTCAATACTTTGTCAATATATCCCAAGATAGTTCCTTGAATTCAACTAAAAGGACACTAAATGTGTTTAAAATGTAATACTCGGCCTCGTGTAAATTTGATGTCGAGAGTGTCAACTCTTATTTTTATCACTTCGCATCCTGGAAGCGTAATTTCAAGTCTCTTGGTTCTCGTGATTGATTGTAAACACTAATCACACTCTAATCTAATAATCCGTAATCCCCAGCTTCTGGTGACTGATGCTGTGTATGGGAGATACTGACAGGTGATGAGGGGAGGCACTCTGCGGGGGGAAACGTGTTCCTGGATGAATCTCAGAGGCGCCTCCTGTAACGTCCTACGTAGCTTACACACAATCGCAGGCTTGTCTCATAGTCAAGGAAGTCGGTGCTTCATTAAAAATGGATATGTGGAGGTCTTATATCAGCATTACCATGACTAAACATGGTCTTTTTCAGATGTTCTATGTTCAAATCTGTTGGGTAGGTGAACGAGTGCGCTTTTACCAATATCCTTGCTATTCGACGGGCGATAACACCATGAATTCGCTTTACATATTGTTCCTGTGTTGCCTGGTTCTTCCAACACCTTTATCACGAGGATGTGGGACCATTAACCTGCTCTTGTGCATTACTGCACTGTCGGGGCACTTTCAGCTGTAACCCATCCTAAGAACGGACATATCTTAGTTTGGTTTGTGAGTGTATTCTACATCCCGTTATAATATAGCACGTGGAATATGGCTTGCCTTTGTTTATATACGACCAACTGTGCAATATTTTTGTTGTCTACGTTTTAAATTCGTTGGTCAGGGGATTGGAGATGAAAACGGAGCCTATTTCTTTTCTCCTTAAGGCTTGTAATCTCTTCAACGATTCTGCCGGCGGGTCTTCCCAGACACACTAATTATTGTAAGTGCTGTGCAGATGACATCCACGAGTCCCCATGTCCTTACAGACACGGATGTGCAGGATTTCTCACATACCGCCGCCCCCAGATACACCGATTTGCTATCAGCTCTTGCAACAATCGTCCTGCGTTAATTCAGTTTTCACTGTCAATCCGCTGTGTCTGTCTGCTTCTTTGGTTAGAATTGGTTATTTTTGTGTGTTCCGGATGCGATGTAAGGATTACCAAATTCGGTTGAAACTAAAAGTGTTGGCTTGGTGTTTGAGAAGATTAAATGAATAAAAATGGGATAAAAATAATCAAATAATGTTAAAGCCAAATAGTTCATTAAGTACATTGCTGTTTCTCTTTCTTTAGACAACATTGTTTGCGCAGTGAAATTACGCCTGTTTGGTTAAATGGAAAGGTTCGATCAACTGTCTGCCGTTAGGGTTCACCAAAAATACATGACACGCATTTGGAAATATAATATATTTAGCACTAGCTTATAAACATATATGATAAATCTGACCCAACGATATTGTTTACTTTCCTGCACTAGTTTTGACTAATTATTATCATTGTTGACCACCGTGAGTAATATAATGTTTGAAAGCAGTCTATCACATGATTTCGGCCTACAACCATTGCATCAATATCATTAACCTTTAGTAAAATCACATAGTTCGTATTCATTATTTGTGTATGTGACCCTTGAAGTCTCGGGGAAGAATAGGTCTTCAGCAACCCATGCTTGCCGTAAAAGGCGACTATTCTTGTCGTAAAAGCGACTAACGGGATCTGGTGGTCAGACTCGCTTACTTGGTTGATGCATGTCATCGTATCCCAACTGCGTGGATCGATGCTTACGATGTCAATCACTGGATTGTCATGTCCAGACTCGATTGTTTACAGACCGCCGTCATAGAACTGGAATAGTGCTGGGTCCGGCGTTAAACAACAAATAAAAACAAAACATTTGTGGAAGTTAAATAAATAAAAATAGCGAAATAGATTCTATTATATAATCTGCAAGAATATGGTACATTAATTAACATTAATTAACCAATGCGAGGCATATGTAGAAAAGGCTTGATCATTATTTTTGTACTTCATAATTCAATCAAATACGGTCACCAGACGTGTGGCAGTCCGAGCAGACGACACGCGTGCTTGGGGTAGACAAAACAAGCAGACGACATGTGAGCGTTGACGGTCACTGTCGTCTGTCACTGTCGTCTGTTACCTGAAACGTCTGTGTCAGTCAATGAATTGTATACAACAGTTACGTCGCAGCAATCAAGCAACCTCCCCTCCGCTAATCACCTACTGTTCACACCGCACCATAGGTCGACGCCTTCATCCAATTAACATCGGAAAGCAAGTGACCGTAAAGAGACAAGCTCGCGGTCAGTGGTAACTGAAGCATTTAACACCTCTGGTCAGGCAACCAGTCATCTGTGACGCCATTGTGTAACAACTGGCCATACGAGAGGTCATTACATATTCCAACGAATTACCTACGCCACCACTAGGCCAGGCAGGCATAGTGTTAACTGCAGTCACTCAGGCCTGTTGTGATAAAGCCGTTTGAGAACTTACAATCTGCGATGTTGTTTTTTAAAACGAGGTGAGTAAAGGACAGTTTATACAAAACTTACATTCCTCAGATAGCTGGTCTGGAGTTTGTCACCTTTGTTAAAGTCACAGCGGAACTGATTACAATGCTACAGTCAGGTGTCGCTCATTGTTCGACGTTGATGTTTAGACCTTTTGGAGCAACGTGAGTGGAGAATGTTTTGAAACACTTCCGATTTCAGAAATGCACAATCCTATTTTCATTTCAGCATGTGTTGTATAGTTAGTATGCGATGAAATGTCTTTTTATTCCCTGTTTAGAAACATTTCTGAAAGTATTTTCGTCCACAATAATGCGATTGAGATGAGATTGTCATCGGATCTCGTGACATGTATATATTCTAATGAAGATGTGTAGACTTAATCTGTAGCTTTATAAATCTTCACGTCACCATTTGCGGTTACGAGCAGATCACAGGTAAGAGAACAGGAGCCGTCGTGACGCTATAACTGATGTGCCCATGTTGAGCAGATAATTTAGATATATTAGGACACGTCCTTTGCACACAGATGATTACGAATAACATATAGGGCTCGAAGTTTTTGAAAAATGAGTATTGTATTAGCGCCTCATCAGAACGTCATACAATATTTCCTCAGTCATGTCGTTACCTTCACAGTATGTTTGAAGATTATCATTACGACTATAACGATTGTCGTAAAAGGAGATGATTATTATGATAGTGTATAAGGTAAAAGCGATGACGACAGCGGACATTACGATGACGTCTGTGACAAGATTATTATAGTTATCTATTATAATGGAACTGGTTTATCATAGGTGGACGATGTCAGTAATGATAACCGATCTTCAACCCATAACATTTGCATCCCTGTCGTCGTCATTGGGTATTTTCAGTAAGTGACAATGTGATTGAAATTGAAAGTGATATTTGTTGTGACTTCCAACTTTGGTAATGTTTGTTATACTGACTTTGGCAATGATAATACTTGTGATGACGATGTATGTTATGACAATACTTGTGTCGTGATTATACTAATCTTTCCAGTACCAAGGCTTGTGATAGTGGCACTATTTTTTGTGATAACGATGATGACGGTTATTGTTGTGATGATGACCGTCATGATTATAATCACAGTCGAACACGCACCTCACATACTGTGGTGCTTATGTCACTGGCATTTAGACGACAATATAAAGTCAAATATATTTTATTGTTATAATAATTGTTATAAATGGTGCTGAAAGAATACTAGTCACATTCACATGTCGTACCCATCACCTTAGCTCTCCCAGCAGATAAACCAACTGCTGTCACAACAGCTTCAACAAATGCCAGATATCGATTTGGTTTTGCAAGTGTTGGTCAGCTATTGATATGGCAGTGTAGGTTAAATTGGTCCCACATGGTGAACAAACTTATATTTACTCACCGCGAATGTACACTAAGTTGCTATTTACCCTACATAGAAAATGGTTTCTTTACATTAGCATGTAGGTAGTATCGATTTCTAGGCGGAATGTAGAAGTAATATTTGTTCTACCAGATCTTGGTTGATCAGTATATCATATATATTGTCGCTAATTCCTACCTTGATTAACTCGTGGTTATGTTAATGGGCTATATATTATTAACTAGTTGAATATATTGCAGAATTATTTGGAATGTCACTGGATAAGCAGTGAATCTGTCTGACTGAACACTATCCAACACAACTACAGTGTATGTGTAGAGTACATTGTATCAAATCAAGCTGAGCAGTAGGTCTATACCAAAATATCAAACAGTAAAGATAGCAGGCCGTGTGGATGGGCTATTTCAGTTCCTATGCTCACTATCCCCGTTGAGATTAATATGATATTTATGATGCAGATAAGAACTGATAATTCACAGCCTCTTGGGAACAGTTTATCTCCACATTTGTTGCAAAGAACCCGGAAGTACATCAAAATATGACAGAAGGTAGCGTGACCACAGACCGCTGAAATGTGCACTTTCGTTTCCCGTGAACAGAAACAATGCACCAGATGCATGAACTATTATCCCGCGTGGCTATACAAATGTCGGCTTTAAATTAAGGACAGGACATCCGGCTAACATTTCATAGATTTTTGTTATCAGTTAATCATTCTCCAGTTCAGGTGGACGCTTAGTAAAAGTACGCAGTGAGGGAAGGCAGAAGTGCGTTACTATTCAGGAAAGTGAATAGCTACCTCTTCCCGCTTGCAAGTGAAATTAATGTCAGTGTGAGTGAAATATATTTTCTTAACGTGGTATTTGCGCCATCGTTGATGGATAGCTATGTGCGGTATTCCACATAAAGCCGGCCAGGTAATAACATCTCACCTGCAATTACATTGTAGATGACTCATAATTTGTCCACGTCAAATGTCAGGTACATTGCATGACATTTGTGGCCATTAGGTTTCGGGAATTCGATGAATAATGAGAGTATGAGGTGACTAATAAAGTGAAAAACTCCCGAACCTACAAGAAGCGCATCACATTATAAATGAAAAGTTGATAGCATGTCATCGTTTCCCTATTGCGTGGATCGATGCTCATGACGTCAGTCATTGGATTGTCTGGTCCAGACTCGATTATTTACACTTCCACCATAGTGCTGAGGGCAGCGTGAAACAACATAGAAAATAAATGACAAAACGACAACATAATATTTTGAAAAATGGAAAATAATGCATAGCTAAGCAGTACTGACTTAAAAAGATGTATTGTTTTGAAAAATATCCTATTTGTTTAGAAATAGATTAATATGGTCGTATTAACAGACATGTAACAGCATGTGAATCAATCGGCATCAATCATTTTGAGTATGTTTATCAATAATCTAGTCATGATGTATCGCATGCAATATTAAATCTCCTCATCTTGCTTTAGACAGTTTATAGACATGTACGCAAAAAGGCAAAAGTTAATTATTGCCAAGACTGCAGTGCTCCCATCTCCTAAAATAACCCAAGCTTGGCACATTATCTACACTGGAAAGGTGAGAGATGCGGGGAGAATGTGCGCGTGGTCTGTGCAGTAGCCGGCTGTACGGGGGACAGACAGGAGGGACTCAGAACGCTGGATAGGATTAACTGGATTAACCTGGGATTAATGGTTTTCGAGACAGGATTATTATAAGACCTCTCGTGTGATCTGGATATTTCGCAGTCCGACGAAACAGTGGCTTATATCTATGCGTAGAAGGAAGAGATGTATGCTGCGCGAAAAGAGTTGATTGGAATGTGAATATTTCCTCAATACACAAAAAGGAAACGTGGCATACGTGTGTTAAACACTGGACTGGTTTAGCGTCAAGATGACGACGTTATTTTCTTCCCTTTTCGACTCTGACTGGGACCTCTCTTCTTTACTTTCCAGTATGTACATCGCCAATCGAACGTTATCAGCACTGGATACGGACGATTTCGGCTCGTTTTCAAGCCTGGACAACCTGACCCCCCCTCGAGCCAGACCCCTCACCCCCGTCGACATGTGTCAGGGGTACACAGTCCCTATCGTGTACAAGGACGAAACATGGGAGGAGATAGAGCGAAAGAAGAGGGCTGCCAATGCGTGTGGGAGCAACTCCACACTAAGTAGCGAGCTTCCATGGAAAGAGAGAAAAAATAGGATAGACAATGCGTTGTCATGGTTACGGACGGAACTGGTAAGTACATCAGTGTGCTAGGCACGCATATGCAACTCACTAAATGCTCCATTGCATCACTGCCCATATGACTAATTCACGTTATATTTTCCACATGTTGTCCATCTGTGTTTACATAATGACACAGATAATACACTTGTATTTATATACAACGGACTCTAACGCAATGTGTATTTATTAGTTTTCAATTTATGAGTATTATGGTGTGGTATCTCACATCTAAATCATGTAACCGTAAATTCCCAAATATGAATGTGAAACAAATATAACATGATTCATACAGAAACATATCCCCCCCAAAATACGTTGAAGGTGAACATTTTATTTGTCATTCTTCTTTAAATGCCGCTAGGGACATTGTATTTATAGAAACATATACCACAAGGTTAAATACCCATGAAGACTTATCGACCAACTTTCTAACACCGTGTGACATTCCACACGATCTCAGACCTGGTCACTGATATAGTCATGTGTAATGTGTTTAGATCATTGACGTATACTTGCGATCAGGTATTAAATCTGTAGTATTTATAGCCCCACTTTCATTTCGTTATGAAAAAAAACGTTGAATCAATACAATCAGTTAATATCCATATGGAAAAATAATCAAAAGGTTACGGCGCGTACAGTCATTAACTCTGAATGGATCTAGCTGTGTGGAGTTGTCAAGTCGACGTTAAATGCACCCCAAATTAACATAAGTCAAGTTTAATGGAACGTGATAGAAGGAAAGACACTCGTATACAGCTGCTAAATACAGCGCCTCACCACGTTAACGTGGTCGAAACACTAGCCACAACCGGTGCTTGTGCCTCACACCCACCGAAGCTTTCGCTAATCTAAAGTTACGTACGTCGTGCTGTTTTCTTATCTCTACGAGTAGCGTTTGTTTCTTGTGACCATCGAAGTGAACCCAACGCGCTCTGTTCACATACACTAGACGTGCTTACTTTCAATATCACTCCATAATCGTTATACTGTGTATGATGAGATGAATAGCATCTTTCTGCGGCTTATGAAGTTGTACTTGTTTGTTAATGGCCATGGACAAAGGCTGTGATTATAATATGTCTGTATGTTTGTTAGAGAATCAAATATTGATGAGATGTCTTACATCGAGATTGAAAATTTATCGATTGTTCACCTTCACCAACACGCACTTTACATTCATGATGTTTCAACCTTACATTTGATTACGTTTTCTTTACATTTGTAAATAAACTCAAGTATAGCGTGATTAGTGATCACACGAACCTTGCATATATGTACTAGATGATAACGAAATAAATCAAGATGTGTTTTAGGAGAAGTAAAAAACACACTTTATAAGAGGGACTTATCTAAGTGTATCTAAAGTCTTAATATTATTTTCAATAACTGATGATTTCGATTCATTAAACGGTATGTAACCTTTTACGGATTGGCTTGTTTCCAACTCGATATCACTTGGACAAACACTTGAATAACTATTTCACAGTATACCGGACGATTATAGCCCATACATTTCGTTAAATTCAGCTTTCCGAGATTGAATAAAAACTGCATCCTTATCGGAATTAGGAAACATGAATCAGCTATTCCAAAAATCCCCCGAAACCCCAGAACCTATATCCTTGTTCCGAGGGTATCATTTTTCAAATTATTCTCCTTTCAGTCGCGGAACCCCCCAGTGGTATTTACCAGTCACCTTTATACCATAATTGTCCACCTACCTCAAATCACACCCCTACCCAAACACGACCATTGTTAACTAACGTTGAGGTGACTGGATATCTTTGCTTACCTTGCTGTACAGCGAGACTGTTTAAACTTTGGCAGTAAATATTCCTGGAATGTTCTCAATGAGAGCACGGAACCAGTATCTTATCTGGTTAGAGTGTAAATTGTTATCAAAACCAGATGTATGTTTGATTTATCGAAACGTGTAAAGGCGTATGTTGAATTATACTTTTGCTTAGATATATTTGCTTACAGAGCCAGTTCTTAACACGGGTAGACATGTTTGTTCATCGTGACAAACGGATTTTGTTATGAGAAAATAGTAACTAAATGGTCATTTATGGCAAATGAAAGACGATGTTGTGTGTTGGTTCTAGACAAGTATACATCAATGTTTAATAGAGACACAAAGATTCCCAAATCGAATTCACATTACAAGATTTAAGTAACACTCCAAAGGTGAATTACTTTATCAAGCTACGTGTTAAAATACCTCTGATATCGTGAACAGTTGAAAGGATACACTTTGTGTGAACGTTTGGTCGGACCACTATATCTGGTTAAGCTACCAAGCTATAATTCGAATGATCAGCTCCAGCTGTGCTATAGACTATATACATTTCACCCGCGAGGATCCGGGGTAGAATAGGTCTTCAACAACCCATGTTTGCCGTAAAAGGCGACTATGCTTGTCGTAAGACGCGACTAACGGGATCGGGTGGTCAGGCTCGCTGTTGATGCTTGTCATCGATCCCAATGGAGCACCCGTGGATTGGTGCTCATGATATCAATTACTAGATTGTCCATATACCGCCGTCATATAGCTTTAATATTGCCGAGTGCGGCGTTAAACAACAAACAAACAAACTTGATTATTTACCCATTATTGTCATTATACATTCAATCAACACTAATCATGAAACCATTATTCGGATACGTGCCCTCATATTTACATATTTGGTACAAACTAGACGATGAGGCCCGATGTCAAAAACTGATACGCAAATAGCTATACCACATTAGACTTCATGTCTTGGACTCCCAAAGACATGTTATTCAATAGACGACCTTGATCGTTCAACTTCAAGTCGGCTGCGTGGGCCTTTTCGTCTCGATGGGGATGGGGAGGATGAACTCACAAGTGTACGTGACAAAACCGTGTGTCAGATGATTGCGAGCTCAACGGGGAACCCTTTATCAGGTTCTAATCCGAGATTTGGTTACGTTACACCAGGAAGTATTTTCACCTGTTTGCTACACACGGACTAATGTTAAATTATATAGACGTGACGAAAACACGTTTGATTCAAAATAGTGTATTCTGTTTAGGGAAATAATACATCGTACATCAGTTAAAAAGATTTTCGGTTTCAAAATGTGAATAAATATTTGTCAAATCGCATTCTTGGATGCAAAGAGGATGCAATGTCATTTGTAAATATGAAATAATTATGGGAGGATTATACAGATATTAGTGCGAGGATATTTAGATCTAATCCTAGGAAATTACAAGCGCTCTTATCCGGGATAATGTCAGTTGAAATGTCAAATTAGTGCAACACAGGGATGGCGAATGTAAGAGTAGTGTTTTAACACTATTTTCATTATCCAACTGAGCAATAGTGGTATATTGTTCATATGCTGATATACTGCCGTGTCATCATTAAATGTTATCGATAGAAATTCAAATGTAACATTAAATTAAATTAAATTCTTCCGACCCCCTTTACCAGCGATCTTACATTAGCAGGATAGACTGAGCCAATACGAATTGTGTGGTTTCATAAGTGTCTGAATTGCAACATTGCTATGCAGAACTTTAATTGCTTCAGGCATGAAACCCTATAATCTCAATCCGGCCGAACGTGTTTTGAATGAGATAACACATGCTTCTGTTGTACTTCAAGATAACCGAAGGGACAAACAAAGCAACACTGTTTATTGTTTCAACACAGTTCTCTGACATATGTTTTAGAAGTGGCGGTTGTAATGGTGGTGCACGCTCAACGGGCCTTTGTCGAGAAGCGTTGTTAGTGCTACAACCATCGTAAGACTGTTGGAGAGGTATGGTAGTCGTAATGCTACAACCATCGTAAGACTGTGGAAGAGGTATGGTAGTCGTAATGCTACGACCATCGTAAGACTGTTGGAGAGGTATGGTAGTCGTAATGCTAGAGTCTCTCCACGGGTCCAGCAATTTTATTTTTACTTTCTGATTTACGAAATAAAAGGAAACATATGATAATCTGAAATAATTATTCGTTTCTAATTGTTCGTACGTAGGTTACCAAGCTGTGGAAGCTTAACAAAATATACCGAATATTAATCATTGATATATAAATATATACTCATTGTTATTGCCATAGCAAGTTATTCCTAGTAAACACCTATTCCGACTAAGTTGCATGTTGTATCTCCACACTCATAAAGGTTACCGCCTCGATCTACAAGTCCCCATTAGATTAGAAATAACAGGTCATATTGAATGTCAGGCTGACATTACCGGACCCATCAAGGGCGTATCCGGGTTCTAAGTTTCCAGAAAACATACTCTTGTAGAAATACGCATTTATTTCACGTAAAAAATAAATGTAAGATCGGCCACATCCACGGGGAATATTCATCTAGAGTACAATGAAAATTGTCTTTTAGATATTTTATTGTCATATCGATTCATAACTCAAACCGTTGCCAAGTGACTTGCAATTTCCTGTTTACAGTGAGAAACAAAAGTTAATCGTAGCATGACGTTGAGCGCAATACAGCAAGTTTTCCTGGGATGTTTCTAGTTATCACTCACTCACTCACTCTAGTTATCAATATATAGAAAATGTCGCTGTAAAATGTATTTTACAAGAAACAAAAGTGTTAAGGGTTAATTTCTTAGATTATTTGGTATTTTTGTTCCCCCGGCAACCTTGAACGAATCCGACACTGTCCTATTTGTCTATGCTGTCCAAACCTGTTCCGCTGGCCCGTCGCTTTAATCATTGTGTTTATTGCTTTACAGCGTAACGTTGTATCATACAAACTCTCGGAATTCAGCATGTATGTGTTGTAAATCTCACTCGAATGGCTGGGGCACATGACGGCCGAGTGCTCAAGTAGGTGAACCCGACGCTCTGAAGTAGTGTATAAGGATGTTTTAACGCCTTTACTTAAGACACAATAGGGAGTGATAACCACCAACTGGGTTTATATGATGGAATGTGTTATACATAGAGTTCATAGTCTGTACAAATATGATATGTGTGACGAGGGTGGGCTTCGGTTGTATT